TTCATGGCTTCAGAATAATCTGACAAAATCGTTCTTAACATTTTAGGAAACTTAAAACCTTTTATTTGTTAATTACAGATTTCGGGGTTCGGAATAGATTGCACTAACTGCCTATGTTTTGAATACTGTAAAATGGGCTTATGGCATCATCTCGCTCCTCCTCTCCTTCTCGCCTCCCCTCCTTCCCTCCTCCCCTCTACAATATATATTCTACTAGAAAAGAAAATATTTATATTTTGTATTTTTTAGCAAATAAATAAATCTAAAAACTCAAAAAGATTTCAATAAAAGAAAATGATTTTACGCATTCTTCAAAAAACTCTCTATTTTAGATCCATATTTAATACCGATTTTGTAGAAATTTTAACGAAGTTAAGAAATAACATAATTTCTGGAGAAAGATGATCATTCAGATTTTTCTGCAATGTTGTTAAACCAAATCATTTAAACCTGATTTTAAGGAGAAACTTGATTTTCCTCAGTAGAGACTAGAGACACAGAATTTTAACATAAATGTAAGATATTTAGAAATAGCATGCTATTTCTAAATCTCCAATATATATACAGTTGTAATCTCTGTTGATCTGTTTGTATGTTCGATCACAACTCATGAATCCCTTGACAGATTTGCCTCAAACATTGATTGGGGAACTCTCTAACATCCCAAAATAAAAAAATTAATTATAAAGGGGAGGGATCTGATTATGAAAGCCAAGCTGAATTGAAGAAAGATGTAGTTTTCTTCTTTAAAAATGTTTACACCAGAGAGGCCGAATTTAAATAATTTAAACCGCATTGCTGATCCACCAAAAAAACCGGTTTCAATTGAGCGCAGGTTCAACTCTTTGAAACACTGAAAAGAATTTCAAGTTAAACCAACCATAATTGAACCGTGTCGCATATTTGAGCCACGGCTCAAATTCTTTAAATTCGGCTTAAGAATACCTACATAAAACTACTTTAACTCCTGAGATAATAAACCTTCCCCAGGTTCAATCAAAAATCTTAACCCCTGCGGAGTCTGAAATGGACAACTGCCCAATTACTGTGAAAGAACTGTCTCATGCCCTGGATTGGATGGATAGATATTCATACGCAGTTTTGAAGTGCTTCGAGCACAAAGTGCTTGAAAAGATAACTAGCCAGTCACTGAAGGCGTAATGGTCTACTAAGATTCTACCTGAAGCAGTAATAAATACATTAACCTTTATGAATAAATTAAAGTATGAAAATATATATGTTGCCTTTATGGCAATGGATTTCAAAAAAATCTTTTGATTCTATAGTACATGAATATTTAAGGGAGGTTTTAAGTTTTTTTAACTTTTCTGATTATACGCTGAAGATTTTTGATACAATGGTTAAGTGAAAGCAAACTGGAATAACTACTTATGACGGCATTAGTAAACTCGTTGAAATCTTATGCGGGGTAGCGCAGGGGGACAGCCCTAGGTTGTAAAATAAGATTGCTTACTCTCGATGCGCTCTAACGTACGAAAAAATCGTCTTCTAAGCAAAGATAGACTAAATCCTCATATGACGTCACTGATCATAGAGGTGAGAATGACGTCATATGATCGAGGGTTTTATCAATCTATGCCAAGGAGACGACATTTCCCGTACGTTAGCTAGCGCATCGAGAGTTTGCAACCTTTTTATACAACCTTTGGGCTTTTCTTCTTACGACTCATTAAATTAGAACATTTTAAAGAAAATGAGAAAGTTTCAAAGTAATTTTTAACAACAATACCACGACCTCAAATGCGTCGTTTGCCGAGGATATAACAATGGTCATACTATAAATACGCTACACTATAAAAACGCTATGAGAATTTAAAAATATATATCTCTTAAATTATAAACTTATGATTTATTTTCAATTTACGACTATGTGAATTTAAAAATCTTATACACAAACAGAAACAGGCAATAAACTTGTAGCGAATATAGCCTATGTAGCGTTTTTTTAGTGTAGCGTTTTTTTAGGGAAGCGTTTGTATAGATACACCCTAACAATCCTTCTCCAGGCTACAAGAGAAAATCTATTTGCCTGCAAACAGATATCAATTTGTACTGGAGTACTGTCTGAAAAGCATGTATAATCATATGGTAGGGCGGGCCGGGTCGATTTCTTCTCCATTATATTTTACACTCTTTACTGAGAACCTATAAGTTGTTTTCAAACAAGGCGAATAGCTGTGGATTTTGTATTTATAAAGTTTCCTCAGTTTCGCCACTTTCTTCAATATAACGGTCAAAACATTCCTAGATAAACAGATTTGCTCTATTGCACTGCACAGTGCACAAATTCGGGTTCGATGTGAGGTTTATAACAACAGTAATACACGATAAAATATATCCTTTAACACTATATTGTAAAGCACTTTATCGCAGTAAACGCACTTTTCAAACTTATGTTATGTTGGTTTATTATTTTAATCGAATTTTGTTAGAAGAAAATGTTGAAAATTCGATCATTCATAAACCTTCCCTGGGGTCACACCTTATTCCTATGCTATTGTTGTTTCTACGTAGAACCTATATAGTACTAATCAATAGAACGTAAAAAATAATAAAGAAAACATGTTTAGCATTGTATATCGTAGCAAGTTATCAAATAGTAATCTATAGCAATCATAAACTGCTTTTTCAAATTAATATATAAATCTTAAAATAACCATGGGCAACGCCGATATAATTTACAAAATATAAGGTTTCCTATGAAACGAAGAATAAGGTACCCATAACAATGTAGATTAGGAAAATGAAGTTGTTAAATTAAGTAAATGGTTTTCCAATAGCTAGGAAAATGGGTCTGTGTTCACTGCACAGTGTACAATCGCCGTTTTTGTGTTCATTGGACAATCTAAAATCATAGTTTTGTTGTCTCAATTTGTATGTTTCGAAACCCCTAGATATTTAAACCTGCTCTGTGCAATGTACGTTATATCTGAAGATAATAATCTTAAATCTCCAGGTTTCAATCCTAACCTTGACATTGCTCGAATCTACTATATGCAGGGTGTCCCAAGAAACATGAAAGTTAATGTGTGATTACTGTGTAAGGACAAAGTGTGATAAAATAAGGTATAATCACTGATAAGCTTTAAGGAGGTATACGCCTTTTCATCTAAAGCATAGACGTTTATCTTTTTTTGTTAAAAAGTCATTTGATAATTCCTTTAAAAATGAAAGATGATTTTTAAGTCATCTCTGAACTCTCATGTTTAATGCTGCACACTGGATATACAGACCAAGTTTAAATCTGAAAGTTCATTTAACTCAAACAGAAACTTTGCAGACAGAAGTTCTCTAACAATTGTGAAAGAAGAAAAATATAAATGTAAAAATTGCATGTTTTCAGTTTTATACATCATAGTGTCATACCAGGGTACCCCACAAAGAATTAAACTTTAATGAAGACCTACAACCCAATTCTAAATATCTAAGGTTATTTTTTGTTTTTGGGGTCTTTGATATGGTCTTTTAAAGATGTGTTAAATGATTTTAAGCTAAAAGGGTGGTTGGACTCCGTAGGGTCGTCTCTGAAGTCTCATATTTTGTGAGTCACCCTGTATACTTGGTTTCAAATATCTGAGGGATATTCCCGCTTTTGGTTTTATATAACGAAAGGTTATGTTTGTTTTCGGTTTTAAATTCATCAGAATTATGCTCGCTTTGGTTTATAACTTTGAGATAAATGTTCTCTTATGCTTATACAATACATAGCTAGGGGGAGGGGGGGGAGGGGTGTAATTTTTTACCCCTTTCGGAGCAGAATTTTCCCTCCTTGGGAATCATAGTCATCCCTTTTTCGGGTAGTGCCAAGACATCTTATTATTAAGCACCTTGTCTTTATGGTTTTTGTATTTCATGGATTCATTAAGTTTTACTAATAATGCTTATATTAAATCTAAATAAAAATTGGTAAAACGGCTGAACCAATTGGGCCGAAATTTGTGTGGCAAAGAACATGACCCAGGGTCTGAAAAATTACCCCCATCTAAACAGAAAAAATCTACAAGATACAAAAAATTTTGTTCATTGGAGTAGGATATGAAAAGCACTAGTTGAAAGCTAAAATAACTACTAGAAACTAGGGCGCGAAGCGCTCTTAAAGCGTAATATATTGGTTTATTCAGAAAATATTATTCATTTTCTATTTATTTATATCTATAATGTTAGGATTCTCCTTCCTGGGTTACCATGTCGCTCTCATTGCCAAATATGGCAGTTTAGAACCAATTCATTTCCGGTTTTATCTATCTATTAATACATCAAGCTCTCTTTTCATTTATTCCGCTCCTCTCATATATATATATATATATATATATATATATATTATTGTTTACAATAAACCCCGGAAGCTTAAAACAATTTGGACAAATTACGAACAATGGGTGTCTTAAAAATACTGGGTTACTCTGTTGGTAGAAATCCTGAATAACATTGTGTTCGTAATATAAAAGTACCACGAAAATTTAGAACAAGCATTAAACGGAATGTTCTGTCAATTTTGTATGTCCTTAAATTTGGTTCGTAAATGTTTCAGCGAAATTTTCTATTCTTTAGTTTATGACGGAGGCATCCGTTTAATATAGATTTTTATCGTATTTGCCATTTTGTACTTTTTGTGTGATTATGTATTTTAAGTATATTTTTGTACTTGAGGTCTCTAGTACGCTATTTTTGCAGGAATTTGAATGAGAAATCAAAGTGTGGCTGAAAATTTTCCGAAACAGACAGGATGCACTTGGTTGTAACTAGTTTCACGTGGAAGAAGTATCTGATATTGTCTCTAAACTGGCAATAACAAGGTTCTCTTGATATTTGGTAAAATTCAGATCTAACTTTAATCAAAGATATAAAACTATTGGTGTATGTATTCTCAATAGTTGTGGAATATCATGCACTATAGGACACCTTGTATTTATTTCCGGCTAAGACGGGTTTTGTTACTCCTAGGTAGACCTGGAACCAGTCCTAGCTCAGATACCGAGATGAGCGGAGAAGGTCGATTCGTCATATCTGTTCTTTTTATTCTTTGTTTTACACTGTTAGAAGCCCAGCAACAGCAGCTGGTCAGGCGGGTCCTGAAGCCGGTCAAACAGACTGGTAGGCAAGTAGATCTACAACAATGCCAAGTAAACAAACTATCATTAATAAGCTAAGAAAAGGAATTGAGTTTTTGCCACAAGCTAATATTTTCTAATTTTAATATCCTTCCAACCCATAATGTTTCAAACTTAGATGATTTTATTTCACATAATTTAAAGTTTGAAAGATCTACGACATCGGGTTACAAAGATATAGGGTTAAAACAGTTAGAGTTTGTGACAAAAACTCAATTTCTGTAAAGCTATTAAGAATTATTTAGAGCAAAATAAACCTAAAGAAAGAAGAATATGGTGATGACGACTTTTATGATATTGAGAAGATCAATGAACTTACAATGAACACATCAGCAATTGTGAAATTTATACAGAGCTATTTCACTTTTTATCTGATCATCAAGCTGCTGGTGTACATCAAATACATTTTAAGTTCGCTTAATTGTCGTCTTCCAATTCCACAGTTATATAGTCATTAATGTAAATTTTTATAAATTCTTTATATTTTTTATTTAGAAACATTTTACTTGTTTTAAATCATGCGCATTATTATATTCCTTAAAAATGCATATTGTGGGTTTAGTTTTTACCGAAATGAATGAAACTTATGACCGTTCTCTTTTAGAGCTTTCTATGTGTATACCATGTGCTTTGTTTGTACAAGGTTGTATAATAAGATTGTACTCAAAAGTAGGGGAAATGTCGTCTCCTTGGCATAGAAAGATAAAATCCTCAAATGACGTCACTGACACCTCTTTAATCAGTGACGTCATATGAGGATTTTATCTATCTATTTCTGAGAAATAAACCTGGAAATAAAACGTGGGTAAAAAAGTCTTAATATTCTGAAGTCCGTTGACAAAATGTCGCTGGAAAGAAAGATTTAAGGGTTTTTCGTTCACAGTAACCCTAAGGCAGAAGCCCAAAGGAGTTCCGCGCAGGCAGCGTTGAATTACAAGACAAAGAGAGCGCATGCTCGTAACTCCTTTGGACCACTGCCTCAGTGTTATTGTGAACGAAAAATCCCTAAATATTGAAAAGATCAACATCCAGTGTTCTATCTGTATTGTTATTAATCAATGCATGGGGCTTTTTCCCTGAAATACATACTGGAATCAGAAAAAAGTCTCAAGATTGTAGAACTTGTAAAGATTTAAACAATAATAAAGATAATAAACAGTTACAAACATTATGTACATAAACTGTACATAGTCCTTTGTTTAGGTTTCAAAAAGTATTCAGTGTACATAAACTGTACTAATCCTATATATTTAGATGTCTGAAAGTGTACGGTGTACATAAACTGTACTTGTTCTATGTTTAGGTTTCTGAAAGTGTACAGTGTACATAAACTGTACACTGTACTAATCTTATGTTTAGGTTTCTGAAACTGTATAAAAAATTCGGATTTTTTCCAAAGTTTTTATTTCCAGGTTTTTTTCCAGAAACTTTTTCTCCCGGGACTTTCTTACATAGATTCTGAAAGTGTACGGTGTACATAAACTGTACTAGTCCTATGTTTAGGTGCCTGGAAGTGAACAGTTTACATAAACTGTACAAGTCCTATGTTTAGGTGTCTGAAAGTGTACTGTATACATAAACTGTACAAGGCCTATGTTTAGGTATCTGAAAGTGTACAGTGTACCTAAACTGTACGAGTCTTACGTTTAGGTGTCTGAAAGTGTACAGTGTACATAAACTGTACTAGTCCTATATGCTTAGGTGTCTGAAAGTGTACGGTCTACATAAACTGTACTAGTCCTATGTTTAGGTGTCTGGATATGTACAGTGTACATAAACTGTACTAGTCCTATGTTTAGGTGTCTGAAAGTGTAGAGTGTACATAAACTGTACTAGTCCTATGTTTAGGTGGCTGAAAGTGTAGAGTGTACATAAACTGTACTAGTCCTTTGTTTAGGTGGCTGAAAGTGTAGAGTGTACATAAACTGTACTCGTCCTATGTTTAGGTGGCTGAAAGTGTACAGTCTACATAAACTGTACAGACCTATGTTTAGGTGGCTGAAAGTATACAGTGTACATAAACTTTACTAGTCTATATGTTTAGGTATCTGAAAGTGTACAGTGTACATAAACTGTACTAGTCCTATGTGTTTAGATGTCTGAAAGTGTACAGTGTACATAAACTATACTAGTCTTATATGTTTAGGTATCTGAAAGTGTACAAGTATATGAGGATTTGAACTCCTGCAACTCCTTCTATAAATGTGAGAATGGAACTATTACTCTTCAGGTTGGTTAATCTCATATTTCCTTATCATCTTATCTTCTCTTAGATCTGTAAAATTCGCGGAATACTTATCTACTTTCTTCCCACTATTCCTTTCACACTTTAATTCTACTTTATTATCCATCTTTCATTTCTTAATTTCCAAAATTATTTATCATTTTCTTTGATATTTTTCCCCTGATTGAATTTTTAAAGGTGAAATATTGAGCCGCTCGACTCACATAGCATTCCAGAGTTCACCACGACTCGGCCTGTGTTGTGGTTTTTGTAATCTTTTTACTTTTCTGTAGCCCTGGCCAAATAGATTTCCAAATATAAAAACTGCAACCTACAGTTTCGGAATGAGAATAAACTCAGTTTTTGTAAATTGATGGGTTGATGGGTTCCTAGGTTCCTGGTTTCCTGGGTTCCTGGGTTCCTAGCTGGGTTCCTGGATTCCTGGGTTCCTGGGTTCCTAGTAGACACTCCTCTTACTTTTCAATATATTTCTTATACAAAGTAAATTAAATTGTAAATTATAGAACTTAATCTCAAGCATGAAACGTGAAAAAATTGTATTTCTAATGCTTGAACTGTTAAAGTAAATACAAAACAGTTTTCAGGATTCCCTAGGGAACTCAGCACTAATTCAATACAGGGGAAATTACAACAATTAGATTCACTTAAAGGGACAGACCGGCTATGTAAGGTAGTTGAACTGAGTATACAGTGTTGTGGACACATTCTTTAGGATTTATTTGAGACATATTAAACTTTTTAAAGATCTGTAAATCCTCAGTTTGAGCGTAAAGTTGACGTTCAAAATCGTACTTTTGGTTGAATACGTTTTCAGAATCGTTTTTTTAAAATACTTTTTAACGACGACGAAAAATAAAGAAAAAATTATACAGTAATATACTTAGATGATTAGGAACATATTTCTCAAAAGAAATTTGTCAATTAATAAATGCTAGAATCAATTATTTCGTTTTTATCATTATATTGAATTTCTTATTTTCTTTTCGTCTTTTCAATAATTTTTGAGATCTAGATATTTATTATCTCCGTATCGAGATTATATAAATTGTACAAAATAGTTTACATGTATTAAATAAAAAAATTTTACATCAATATCGTTTACATATATTTTGAGAAAATTATGAAGGAATTTACGGATACATTTTTAAGGAGAAATTGGTATTGAGGCTACATAAAAGCATACAAATTGAGAATTATACCAACGAGGAACATTGATGGTTCTTCGTTGATATCGAGGCTACATATTATTTTGTCTCGATAGTCTTGAAGCTACCTAAACAAGGTAAAGGAAGAAACGTGGTAATTAAGAAATATACTAACGCGGAACATTGATGGTTCCTCGTTAATATCGAGGCTACATAAAATAGGTTATTGAAGAGAGATTAGATTTCAGTCTCTTCATGTTCCTCATATCATTTAGGCTGCATGGACAAGGTAAAAGAATGAATATTATATTTAAGAACTAGACTAACGCGGAACATTGATGGTTCAACGTTAATATCTAGGCTACATAAACTAGGATGTTGAAGAGAGATTAGAATTTAGTCTCTTCGTGTTCCTCATATCTTTTAGACTCAAGAGAGATTATGTTAGCTCATTAGTGTTGAGGCAACATAATAGAAGGAACGTCATAGTTAAGAAATGTACTAACTAGGAACATTGATGGTTCCTCGTTAATATCTGGGCTACATAAAAAAGGATAGTCGAAAGAGACAAGACTTCAGTCTCTTCGTTGTCCCCATATCTTGAGACATCTTGGTTTCTCGGCGGTGAAGTTTGTCTTCTTTATCCGCCGGTTCGGGAGGCGTTTCAGTTCTGTTCAGATTGAATAATAATTCCAGAAAATCTACAGAGAATCTTTGTGAATAATGAGAACTAGAATAATGAGAAATAGAAACTAATAATTGAACAAGATTAATTATTTTCGATGAAAAGATAATTTTTATTTTCTCAACCTGTTTCTATAAAACAACTAATTAGTTTACTGTAAAATTTTGTTTACATTTTTTTGTCGTCGTTATTAAATATTTTTTTTAAAAAGTATTCTGAAAACGTATCCACCCAAAGTACAATTTTGAACATCGACTTTGCGCTCAAACTCAGGATTTACGGATCTTTAAAAAGTTTTATATGTTTTAAAGGAATCCAAAAGAAATTGTCCACGACCACAACACTACATACTCAGTTCAGCTACCTTACATAGCCGGTCTGTCCCTTTCATAGTTCTAATTTTAGCTCATTTGAAATTGTACGGTACACTCACTTCTAGTATACCGTACCCACTTCTAGTATACCGAACACACTTCTTGTACCGTACCCACTTCTTGTACCGAACACACTTCTTGCACTGTACCCACTTCTTGTACCGTACCCAATTCATGTACAAGCTGAGGCCCCACCCCCATGGATAAACAACCCAGGTTACAGGTTTAAGAAAGAAAATGTTTGCAATTCCATGATTACGTTTTCGTTCACAATAACCCTGAGGCGGAAGCCCAAAGGAGTCAGGCGCCTGCAAAAGACAGAGAGAGAGCATGCCCGTAACTCCTTTTGGCTTCTGCCTCAGGGTTTTTGTGAACGAAAAACCCTTAAATCTTGAAAATACGACATCTATAGTGTTCTATCTGTATTTTTATTAATCTATGTAAATAAACAATTGTATAACTAGTAAATCCCGTCCAGGCAATTTTTGCGCGCAATGTCTTTATTGACCCCCACCCTTCGAAAAAAAATCATAAGCAGCCCCTCTATACAAGAGATAATTAGCAATAGAAAAGATATAAGATAGCGATCTTTAAAAACGGGAGAAAGGATACAGTTTTTTATTTAATCATTTATACTTTAAAAATATCAACAACATCTCGCTCTTATGTTTTTGAGGGGGGGGGGCTGGTTAAACAGAATATATTAAAAAACTTTGGCTTATAGACCTCGGCATCTTCATTTAAAGTTTTCTTTTTTTTTGCATTCAACTTTAATTATAGTTTACTAATTTAATTTAGAGGGATGCACAAACTATTTTTTTATCTGAAGATTGTGCATTAAATAAACATTGATAAATACGACTGTTGATTTAAAATACTTTATCTTTGCAGCCTGATGCAAACTGATATTTCAAACTAAAAGTTCTGCTAGACCAATGAGTCAAAGTTTGAAATATTAAAAGATTTTGTTGCTAAGATACAGGGATTAGTAAAATGATGCATATACTTTGACATATTGACATAACTTTTTGCAAATAAATTGAAAACCTACAAATTCAAACATTGTCAAATGTTTGCAGTCAACATCATCAAATTCTCTTTAAATAAAGAAAGAAAATCTAAAAATTGGTCAATTCTATAAAATCCCCCTTAGAAATACGATCACTCTATGTACAGCGTTAGATATGTAAACATATCGTGATGTATACAACCGACCACTCTATTAATTAATCAATAGGAAGGTCGGTTGTGTACATCTGAGTGATCTGAGCTAAGCTTCACCTCTCGTTTTATTACTCTATGATTCTTTCTAAGGAGTGTGAGAACGGATTACTGTTTGATGAGGAGTTGGCCCTGACCGACGCTGTACATAATTACTGCGTGTACAACTGGAAAGTGGATTGTGGTGCAAGACGACGAGATGATACTCCGCAATCTAGCCCAGGTTATTTAAAGTTACAATGAGAACTAGAAAACTCTGGAATATTGAAGATTTGCTTGTTAACAATTGATTTTTGAAGCTTTTCATTGAATATTAATACAAAATTGTATAAAATGATTTTCACAAAATTATGAGAATTCGAAAGTCCCCCCTCCCCCTCCACATCAACTTTAATAAGTGGAAACCCTATTTCCAGCATTTATTTTTTGTTATTTAAAAAATAATTTGTATTTGTCAGAGTCGGTCCTTCTTAATCCTCATCTATTCAAGAGACTTTAAACATAACTTTAAGGGATCCTTCATACAAAGCTGACATTGCCTGATTCACAACGGTACCCTTGAAACCTTTATCTGGTCAATATTGTGAAATATATTGTAGTTTTAATATGTTTCTTTCTGATAGTTTCTATATATGCTCTACTGCAGTAGAAATACGCAAATCATTTTGAAGATAAATTACAATTTTAAATTATCAGTTTTCAAAATTATAAACATTGATAGAATTCATACTGATTAAGACAAAGCTTTCAAGGGTACCGTTGTGAATCTGGCATTGTCATCTTTAAATTACGCATACAGTCTCTTTAATCGGTTCAGAATTCTGCAATGCGATTGAGTTAAACAATGTTTCTCCAACTTAGTAACTCTGCTATAGCTGCTGATACTAAATCTTCACAATCATGAAATTTCTACCTGATCAAGTTTTCTGAAAATTTCTATAAGGACTTGACTATCTAAATATCTACACAATTAATGTGTATGCTTTTCCCGTTGCAGGGTGTGGAACATAAGAACACTGCTATAAAGTATTTTTTAAATGAAGGCTTAAATTTTTAAATCTCAACTATAAATAGTAACAAATATGAACACTCCCTGAAATCAACATTCTTCTATTCTTCTCAGCTCCTTGTTTTCTTGGAAAACATAATTTTGAGATTGACTTTTAAACTATTAAAACATTACATCTCTATATTTGAATACTCATGGGACACACACACAGCATGAAACTTTTGATGGAAAAATCAGAGATTTGGCAGTTTTTTGGCAGATTCCGACTCCATTGTGTTCCAGTGCACATTGGAGCAGAGAATTTAAAGGAACAGTCTACGTAATTTCAAGTCACCATCGAATCCGAGCAGTAACCTTATATCTTTATCTGAGTTAATAACAATTTCTGTAATTAACTTCCCCTAATGATTCGGTAATTAACTTCCCCTAATGATTCGGTAATTAACTTCCCCTAATGATTCGGTAATTAACTTCCCCTAATGATTCGGTAATTAAGTCCTTTTGACACCCAATTCTTTTCCACATTCTTTCTTTGATAAAATTGTTATGAATTCATGATAATATAGTTCAAGGTCGTCTTTGATAAAATTGTTTTGAATTCATGATTATATAGTTCAAGGTCGTCTTTAAAGTCTCATTTCATATGATGATGTGAGTAACCCTGTATCTAGATAGAACTACATATATGGTTTAGGTTGTGAGTATAGGTTCGGAATATATCCGTTCTCCTCAGGGTGCCAGCAAACCTATATCCAGTGCTCGTTCGGGGAACCTACTCAGGTAGATACAGAATTAAGGATTAAGATAAAGGAAACAGTATTAAGGATCAAGATATGGGATTAGGGATTGAGATACAGGAAACGGGATACAGGATAAAGGATTGAGATACAGGATTAAGGATTGAGATACAGGATACAGGATTAAATACATAACATTGTTGACACAAATCACGGATGTCTTGATATAGAACCTATATGGATATAGAAACTCCTTGTAACCACAAACACAAAGTTGAAAATATGTACATATTTCAAACCTTCAAAATACAGTTTTAGTAATAATAATTATCTATGATAAAATTGTACTAGTAGGGTCTGTCTGGGGTGATCAAGGAGTGGTTTGATCTCAGAGGAAGGTGATCGGGTCAGTTTGAAACGTTTAGTTGTTACTTCTGAAAAAAAACCGATTGTTTAAGTGGAAATTGCTACGGATTGCAGAATTATTCACGGATTGTATGTTTTAAGTGTTCACAAGTTAAACGTTTTACTATTCAATATGGACGGTATGTTTATCTCTGTCTGAGACGGAGTTGTGCCGGAGTACATTCTCTGTTCTATATCTGACCTGATGCAACGAACGGTGAAGGGTAGGAAGACGACATCACATTTGGATACAGTGGGATTCAAATTTATGTGCAACAAACATAGAATACAGAATACAGGATGCAGGATAAAGACAAAATCCCGAAAATAAATATATGTGAATAAATAAGATACAGAAGCATGGGACACAGGTTAATTACACAGAATAAAGAATACAGAACAGAAATAAAAATATATAGATATATTGAATTATGCAAAAATCATCTAAAAGGAAGTGACATTTTATTTTGTGTTATCGTCAAATCACTGTTTATTATTTATAAATATGAATCAAATATTAAATATTACACCATCACCAGGTTCCCTGTGAGGATGAGAATAAGAATATTCCCGCTAGATTAATGCTGTCGTATAATCCGGAAACACGTGGTTGCAGCTGGCCGGATCAGCTGATTTCCCAGGGTTGTGATCCCACCCAGATATTCGGGTTCTCTTGTCCCGCTCTTTCAGGTCGAGTTATCTTAAATTGAATATTTTATATTTTTAACAAAAAAATGAAATAATACTTACTTTTAGATCTTGTTGGTACGATAAATGAACAGTTCTCTCCATTTCCTCGGTTCCCAGGTAAAAACATCACTATAAGCTCATGTGTTGATCACTTTTAACGACATAGTTTACGTTCCCTAGATGTTAATCAACGCTTTCAACCCATATACTTTAAAAGTTACATGCTCTTTTACAGTACAACTGTTTACAGCACCAGAGCTCGCGACTTAAAACAAGGTATAAAAACCAGTTTTAAAACAACCCGGGTTTAGGCAGTTTTGTGGATATCAATATTTTTGTTTAATTATTAATTTATCTATTTTTTTTTCATATTCTCCATTTTTGTTGAATCTCTTAAATCAAAATTTTCATAATGTTAAGACCCCAAAAAGGAAACTCCAGAGTTTTGTTCAACGATACTCTTTTAAATTTCGGGCTCAGTAGGTCATTTTGTCGTACATCGTGTACACCTGATATTTACACTCATAAAACTAACCAAACTTATTCGTGCTAAAAATACACTATTAATTTGGCGGGAGAGGGTCATTTATACTATTACGAGCGTAATATTACCCGAGGCGGTTTTAACGTCAAACCGCCGGTTCATTTTAGTACCTGGCCGAATCTAAAGCAGCTTCAAGCTGTACAGTATATACTCTTTTGTGAAAGAGTTATTTTTTAAAAAATCTAATAGATTTCAATTGAAAACATTTATTGGCTGCACTGGGTATTATTTTGATAATATTAGATGAAAAACACATTTTAGTTATATAAGTATTCAGTATTTTTGCTTTCATTTTACAATTTTTTTCAAAAGATAAAAATTCTTTTTTTTTGATATGGCATGGGAAAAGAAGACATATTTTTACAGTGTTATGGTTTATTGGCAAAGGACTGCTTTGGGTCTCACTTTCTCAGAAAAAAAAACACCTCGATAAATAGAAGCTGAGGACATTAACTTTAATTGTATCTAATGTTCTGAATTTTTTCAAGAGAGCTCCAGTAAACACGATACTTTTCATTGATGTTTTTGTCAAAAATTTATTTTACGACTTCTAAGCTTTTAAAAATGGATGTATTTTTACAGAGATATTGAATAGTTTGATCATCTTAAACAATCTTAAAAGCATTTTGAAAATATAGTGTTTTTAAGTCAAGGACGCGATGGGTTAAAATTCTAAATATAAATTCTGAATACTTTGTAGATATATAATCAAATTAAATTTAAGTTTATTTAATTTTAGTTTGGAATATTGTAGGTTTTCACACAAAACTCCATTTTCTAAAAATCTATTGATAAGGTTAGGAAATGTTTTATTGTTGTGATCACACTAGTTTGTTTTTCACATTAGGATTTAAAAAGTAAGTAATTTGGCATAAATAACGCCTTCTTATGTTTAGATATGTTTTTATTGTTTAGTGTCTGAGAATGATCAAGTTTACCTGATCTGTGTTGAAGGAGAACCTAGATTACAAACCTGTGGATCCTTGGATAGGTTTAATCCGGATACTCTAGAGTGCACCAGGCCTAGAGCTTTCCTGGGATAATCCAGCTCCGGCGAACAACCAAAGCTGATAACCTGTAGATTTGTCCTCATTTTCCGTATCCTGGTTGCATTCCTGTATCCATTTATGGGACACGTCTCTAGACACATATACATAGACTTCAGGATACATTTTCTTCTACAAACACCAATCCATGGCTAGATAGATATAAAAAATGAAAGATAGGCTACAGGAAACCTGGAACCAGGATATAGGAAACCTGGAACCAGGATATAGGAAACCTGGAACCAGGATATAGGAAACCTGGAACCAGGATACAGAATAACCAGGAAACCAGGATACAGAATAACCAGGAAACCAGGATACATGATAATAAGTATACCAGAGCTGAAAACTTTAGAATTTGATACCCTTAATTCCGATAGGTTAATTAATCTGGAGATTAAGAAAAAAGAGGAGATCAAGCATTAATCTCGATAGCCACCATTCAAAAGTTCCAGTAACCCTAACCTTGAGAAACTATGAGGTGCAAGTCACTTTTATAGAGAAACGTACCACAATTGGAAATTATCAATTTCTAGATAGAAAATCAAGGATGTCTTCATTTAGATGATAATTGAGATTGAAAGCCTAAACCTTAAAAGGATGGGGGGGAGGGATGAGCCTCCTTTCCTCTTGATCTTTAATCTTAATAATTCTATGCCTAGGAAAATAAAATAAATGCTGAAGACAAAGTTTTATTTAAAAACATGAGAAAGAAAATCTTGTGTAAGCATATAAATATTAAAAACAAAAATTTACTGAAAGTCTTAAATTGGATCTATGCGCAAAAGTGTAAAAATAAAATGAAAAAAGAATCGCGGAAGGGCAGATTAAGGGGGGGAGGGGAGGGGGAGGAGAAAGGGAGAGTGAGGCCGGGGGTGGGGAGGAGAAGGGTATGAAAAGAGGAGGTTTAGAAGAAGGTTAAACATATTTAAAGGAACTGTGAGGGTAATTTGAGGAAATACCCGATTCACAACGGTATCTTTGTCTGATTAAGTATGAATTGCATATATTCATATTTATAATTTTAAAAACCTATTATTTTCAATTGTGGGTTCTCTACAAGAGTGACTTGCACATTTAAACTGCAGGAAAACATGTAGGAATTATCAGAAATAAATACTTTTGAAGCTAGAAAAACAACATCATCTTGATCTACATTATTGATCAGATAAAGGTTTCAAGGGTACAGTTGGAAATAGGACATTGTCATCTTTGCAAAGGGACACTTGAAATTACGCTTACAGTCCCTTTTTCATTAGAATTTTGAATTTGAGTTATATAAGAACGTTTCCATATGAAATCCCAGGTTTAGAACTCATTTTCTTAGAATTTCTCCGTTTTCTCTTCTCTATTAAAGTTAAACAGAGAGAACCTTAATTAGCAGAACACAAAGCATAATAGAATTAAAAGTCATCAGAGCCAAGTTGAATTAATTAACATTACAGGATAATCAAGGAGTATGGATATAAGGGAGAAGGAATCGACCCGGCCCACCCTTCCGTGAGTATACATGCTTTGCAGACGGTACTTCATTTGAATATGAAATATAGATGTAATACCGCGTACATGTATTCAGAATACGTTATTTTATAAAGTAAACAGGGAAAAAATAGGCTTAATTTTGCAAACAAATACATTTCCTTTGGGATGACAAAATATTAGCAATACAAGCGTATTTTTAATAATATAAAATATTGGTTTTATTTAAAAAATTTAAAGACTACTTTAAAAAACTCTTTTGTAAATGGAGTACCTCGTCTGCAAAGCATGTATAATCATATGGTAGGGCGGGCTGGGTCGATTCCTTCTCCCTTTTATTCCATGCTCCTTAAGGATACCAAATCTGAGCTACTAGCAATTATTTGCTGTAGAGTGTAGACGTTGTGAAAAAAAAAATTTCAGGACTTTATTAGAGTGATTAGTATAAATAGTTCTTGAGAAATCACAAAAAATACAGAAGTTTGCCGGATGAATACTGCAGTTTGGCGGATAAATATGGGAGGTTGCCGGATGAATACAGCTGCAGTTTGCCTGATGAATACGACAGGACAGGGGGATGAATAAGGCCGTTTGGTGGATGAATGCGACCGTTTGCCTCATGAATACGGCAGTTTGGTGGATGAATATGACAGATTGGCGAATAAATACGGCAGTTTGGTGGATAAATACAGTCCCGTCTTGCCTTCCCCCCTCCCCCACGTTAAACTGAAGTATATTAAAATCTTACTCCTTTTATTGAAAAGCTATTGAGAAGAACGAACAATTGTGTCCAATATGTCACCAGAAATATTTGATTTTCTCATACTTCAAATCAAAACAAGCGAAGCCTCGAGGTCAAACAGTCCTACCAGTAATATCCAGGAGGGATAATAGTTCTCTACCTGTGTGTGCTCAGTTAGCTGTACTGTACACTTACAACTGTTTACTAATATTGACATACCATAGTTTAGGCCAGAATCAACTTATAATAAACAAATATACAGTATGCTCTCGGTATAGTTTATGGCCTATAAAATTAGTAAAGGATTAGCGTACATCATTACTCTATACACTATAACCTCGTTGTTTATGGCCTGTAAAATTAGTAAAGGATTAGCGTACATCATCACTCTATACACTATAACCTCGTTGGTAATATCGCATAAATTTCCCTTCTGGATAGTACTAAAGTTAGTTTACCCCAATATTTTCAGTCTTGGAAATAAAATTTTATTTTTATATATTTTATTTATTATATATTATATATATTATACTTTCAGTTAAGTTTTATGGGGAAGGGGGTCCAAAAAGCGTATTTCAGGACATTACCATGTTATTCAAAATTACTTGACCAAATTTCTAATTTTTCTTCTTGGTGTACTAAATACTTTTCCAAAAATTACAACTGCAAATCTCTATCTAACTAAATCTCTATCTAAATAAATCTCTATCTAACTAAATCTCTATCTAACTAAATCTCTATCTAACTAAATATCTATCTAACTAAATCTCTATCTAACTAAATCTCTATCTAACTAAATTTCTATCTAAATAAATCTCTATCTAACTAAATATCTATCTAACTAAATATCTATCTAAAGGGGGGGGGAGAGTTCAACTGAGTGCTGAGTTTTTTTTTATTTTATTTTGCCCAAATATATTGGGTTAGGTTCCTGGTTTATCTTCCTTGCCACAAAGTTTGAATTATTTTCCTGCTCAACCTTGTAAATCTTTTCATTGATCTAATCCTTCTTTACCGGGTGTATTCACAGCCAATTCCCAGAATCTAAAACAAAAATTGTAATTTTTTAAAGGGACTGTTATTGTATTTCATAATGGTATTGTATATAATGCAAATCTTGATAATATGATCGGTACTTTTAGTATTAATTCGACCCGAGATTAATTTACAAACAATTGTACGAAAAATAGTTTTAAATATCCTGAGAAAATCTTTCATCTTTGGAATTCTTATGAAATTGAGAACATTGACAAGAGCTTTAGAAGAGTTTTATTAATATCGTCAAATAAATAATAAAAAGCTTAGTCATAAAAAATATAAATTTATGGAAGCAGACAGTTTAAATCCTGTAAAGTCTTATCCCTGTTAACCACGTAATATTCTAATTTTTTAAAATTAGAAACAAAGATGTCAATGAGGGTCAGCGTGATTGTAACTTTCTGGATAAAAACTATCAATCATTCTAGGCCTTCGGGGACATCTTTTAGCGGAGATATTGGTTTGGACGGCGGGGTCCAAACTTTAAAATTTCATGAGTATTTTTGAATAAATATATAATCCCTTTAAGACAATACAGGCTTCGCAATGTTTCCTAAAATAGGAAATAAAAGAAGTTTATAATATATGAGAAGTTTTCACCTAAACTAATAAATATAATATAATATATGAGAAGTTTTCAACTAAACTAATAAATGTAATATAATATATGAGAAGTTTTAACCTAAACTAATAAATATAATATAATATATGAGAAGTTTTCACCTAAACTAATAAATGTAATATAATATATGAGAAGTTTTAACCTAAACTAATAAATGTAATATAATATATGAGAAGTTTTCACCTAAACTAATAAATGTAATATAATATATGAGAAGTTTTCACCTAAACTAATAAATGTAATATAATATATGAGAAGTTTTAACCTAAACTAATAAATATAATATAATATATGAGAAGTTTTAACCTAAACCAATGAAAATAATATAATGATAAATTTAATAAATATAATATAAAATATAAGAAGTTTTCAACTAAACTAATAAATAAAAGTACAGTGAAAACCAGAAAACTGAAATGAGAGGACGACATTATGGCAATAATTAACGTTGACGTTGTTACGAAGATAAAAGTGTTACTTGATTCTTAAAGTCGTCTTCCTATTTTTAGAGTTTTTTGGTTATCACTGTATTAAAAAGAAAATATCCAAATCTTACAATTTTAATTATAATTATTTAGGTTTGGTTTACCTTCTAGTTATAGTTTGAAAGGTTGCAGATTATTTTTGTCTGAAGCTCGCTGATGACATATACTTCTGAAATTGTTTTACAGGATTAACCATCATAAATCAGAATTTAATGACGACCTAAAACGTTTTAAAAACTAAAGAATAAATAGATATAAAGGGATGGGAAGAATTAGAATTTGTTTCCCTTATCGTGGCAACCCCTGTACTTTTAGAAATGAATATGTCAATAACAATCTTCAATTTGTTATTTCTTCATCATAAACATTTTTTGCACTTTAATAAACGTTTAAGGACTTTCTTTAAAATAAATCTAATATTTTTAAATATAATTAATTCAATCAAACAAATATGTTATTTAACATAATGAGAATAGTTTTTGTTTATTCTACTAATAAATATGGTTATATTTAAGAACAAACCTTTGTGTTTTAGAGAAAAACAATTTTAGGGAAAAAAAACATAGAAATCGTTTATTTTTTTAATTATTCATGAAGTTTCGGGGTAATGGTTTTACGATGACAATGAATGGACTATACAAATTTTAAATGAATTTTAAATGAAAACTAAATCATGCGTATTTACTAAAACTTAATTAATATCTCAATTATATTTACACATTTAGCAGGGAAAAAAACTCATAAAGGAACTCAAATTTTCTAATCCCTATAATTTGCCAACCTGATGGTGTAAAATCTTTGATATTTCAAACAAAATTCTTATAAATCTTTAAACATTTTGCTTGTGAAATGCGTGAAGAAATTGAAGATGTTTACCTGGCTTTGGCTCCTCGGCCTGAATTTTCTTGATAGAGCGGAGATAGAACCTGATCTAATCCTGTATCCATCCTCTCCATCTCCATTCTCCCCCTCCACCTTCAGCTCCACCACCTCGTCTGCCCTGTTGAGAGAGAGTAGACTGATGGTTCGGTTACACTTGATCTTCCTGCTGGTCAACTTCCTCTCCAGGTACTTGAGCATAGTCAACACGGCATCAGGTCCCTGAAAGGGAGGGATCGTCAACTTTAAAAGGAGGGTAAAGCAAATAGTTTAACCCAGAACTGACTGAGACATCGAAAGAATTTATAAGATGTTGTTTTCTAAATCTTCAGCAATAATGAAATGTTGCAAATTTGTATTTTTTGAATTGAATAATTATATGAAGCTCTTTATAACTGTTCCTGCATATTTATTTACTTTTACAAGTACTGAAATATTATATAAACAGGGGGTTTAGGTAGGGGGGATTAAATGTTTAGGTATATGTTTTATTAAAAAATGGAGAAAAACATTTTTAATTGTTACCTGCAATCTTGCGTTTGCCCATGTCTTTGTAATAGCGCTAGCGTCCTCGTTTATAACCTAGGCAATACTTGTAGACTAGATATACATTGTACATTGTACTTGTACGTGTATTCTTTATGTACAATTAACCTTGTACGTGTTTGCTGTGTGTAAAACTAACCTTGTATATGTGTGATGTATGTACAACTAATCTTGTACATGTATGATGTATGTACAACTAACTTGTACTTGTATGCTGTATGTATCAATCTAACCTTATATGTGTCTTCTATTTATACAACTAACCTTGTACGTGTATGATGTATGTACAATTAACCTTGTACGTGTATGCTGTATGTACAACTAACCTTGTACGTGTATGCTGTATGTACAACTAACCTTATACATGTATTCTGTATGTTCAACTAATCTTGTACATGTATGCTGTATGTACAACTAACCTTGTACGTGTATTCTGTATGTACAACTGTACAACTAACCTTGCACATGTATGCTGTATGTACAACTAACATTGTACTTGTATTATGTATGTATCCAACTAGCCTTGTATGTGTATGCTGTATGAACAACTAACCGTGTACGTGTATGCTGTATGTACAACTAACCTTGTACTTGTATGCTGTATGTACAACTAATCTTGTATATGTATGCTATATGTACAACTAACTTTGTACCTGTATGCTGTATGTACAACTAACCTTGTACGTGTATTCTGTATGTACAACTAACCTTGTACGTGTATGATGTATGTAAAACTAACCTTGTACTTGTATGCTGTATGTACAACTAACCTATACATGTACGCTGTATGTACAACTAACCTTGTATGTGTATGCAACTCCTTTAAGAACTTCCATTGCAAATTCATCAGCTGCGGAGTCTCCAGCATATATAACCTAATCATACAATATAATAAGAAAGTCCTCTCAAAAACTAAAAGAGGTATTTTCTAAAAAATCTAAAATCTTGATGAAAAATGGTATTTTTGCCCTCTTTAGATAAATTTTAAAAAAAATAATTTCTTTTTTACATTATGTCAGTAATCTCATATTTCCAAATTTGTATTGCACAATATTCAAAAATTTTCACCTGAACTCTTTCTGTCCAATCAACTCCAAAAATTGACCTGGATAAAAATACATTAAAGTCTATACTGAGCATAAATCTTATGGAACATCCTCTATAAAGACTTCTTAAGTTTATAAATATTAAAAATATTATTGAAAAATATTTCACAAAGACTGGCTAGTTATACACGCATTCTGGATAGAACTGGGCAAAGGTCCTGTATTGCACGGAAGTTTATGAAAATTAACGGAAGTTTATGAAAATTAACAATATTTCAAAAATTAAAAATCTATTTTTACTTTTTATATATGCTAGCTGCTAGGAGGAATAATGCTTCTTTTTTATCTTTTGGAACCTCTCTGTAGTGCCAAGCAACCAGCAAACCTAGGATTAAGAACTGAACCAATTTCATAAAAGGTTTTGCTTTTCCATAAGATTTTTTTTGTGTTCCAGTCGATTTCGACCTAAAAAGGAATTGAGTCTTTGCCACAAACTATGATTTCTAATCCCTATATTGTTGCAGTCCAATGTCACAGACAAAATTCTGTTAGATCAAAGAATCTAAGTTTAAAATATCAAACACCATCAGGTTGCAAAGATATAGTGATTAGAACCTTTAAATTTAAATTTCATTGTAGCATTTGGATATTTTTTGTGCAAAAACAATCTATTGACAATAATAAAGGATCAATTATTTAATTAATTTAAAAAATTCTTCAAATACAAACCTTTAGGTTCCACCCATGCTCCATGACAAGTACACTTCTCTTTTAGTTCCTCCTCCAGCTTCTCTAACCTCTCTTTATACCTAGGGACGTAGAACCATTTTTACACAGACCAAACATACATCTTGCTTGTCTTGGACCTTTGATATTTTAAACTATGAATTTTGATCAGAGTTTCAAATATCAAAGAATTACGCCATCATGCATCAGTTTCAAAAATTAGGACAGAAAACGACATTAACTATAAAAACGGAAGAAAAAAATTGTATTTTTCTGATATTTAATTCATATTTCAGTGATGTTAAAAATATAAAAAAAAAACTTTTTTCAATTTAAAAAAAAAAATAAAATATTCTTATAAATTTCGGGGGTATTTAGAGCATAAGCATTCGAGTTTTCTTTTAACCCTTATAAAAAGGGAATTTTAAAATTATAAAAGACTTAATACCACAGCGCGCAACAAGTTCACAACGAAAATTAAATGTCCTGGATAATTTTTTTAACTTAAGACAAAAAACCATTTATTTGATTGTGGTAAGGCTGGGGAATTTTTTTGAAGAAGCATGAGCATGGCCAGACCTAATTGCCGGAATAAATTGCTTCTTAAAAAGTTCTGTTAAAGCCCTACCCTGGAGGCATAGGATGATTGAACCGAGTACCATCAGGATGAAGAATCTCTAAACCATGGTTTCCAGCATAGGTGATCCCATCTACTCCAACCTTATTCTAAACAGGTAATATATGATCCCATCTACTCCAACCTTATTCTAAACAGGTAATATATGATCCCATCTACTCCAACCTTATTCTAAACAAGTAATATATGATCCCATCTACTCCAACCTTATTCTAAACAAGTAATATATGATCCGATCTACTCCAACCTTATTCTAAACAGGTAATATATGATCCTATCTACTCCAACCTTATTCTTAACCAGTAATATATGATCCCATCTACTCCAACCATCTTCTAAACAAGAAATATATGATCCCATCTACTCCAACCATATTCTAAACAAGAAATAAATGATCCCATCTACTCCAACCATATTCTAAACAGGTAATATATGATCCCATCTACTCCAACCTTATTCTAAACAGGTAATATATGATCCCATCTACTCCAACCTTATTCTAAACCAGTAATATATGATCCAATCTACTCCAACCTTATTCTAAACCAGTAATATATTATCCCATCTACTCCAACCATATTCTAAACAGGTAATATATTATCCCATCTACTCCAACTTTGTTCTTTATCTACTACCTTGATATTTAGTAATGGCACCTACCTGTAGATCCTCCAGGTTTCTGCCCGAGATGACCGCTATATGGCAGTCAGAAATGTTGGATAATCGTTCAAGAGCTCTCTTAGTCTCTGGAGGTATAATTGCTAGCTGCGGGGTTCTAAATAGAATTTATTCTATTCTTTACTTCAGTAATTTACTAATTCTTCAAACAATATTTTTATTTACTCATCATTCAGTTCTTTTAATACAATGTTAATGTTAAAGAAGAAAACGGAACAATTTATGAAAAGTCGTTTTCCAAGCTTATTAATGATCAAATGCCATGGATATTCTGTGTTTTAATGAATCAGGTATAGCATTTTAAACACAAATCAGCGCCATATTTTATGAAGCTGATGGATAAATGTTCTGCGTGGTTCACGGTTATCAATTTATCTTAATGGGAGTGACCGTCTATGTAAGGTAGTTGAACTGAGTATGCAGTGTTGTGGAAAACTTCTTTCGGATTCATTTGAGACATATTAAACTTTTTAAAGATCTGTAAATCCTGAGTTTGAGCGCAAATTCGACGTTCAAAACTCCTACTTTAGGGGTAGATACGTTTTCAGAATTAGAAAAATAATAGTAAAAAATAAAGTAAAAATTATACAGTAATCTAATTAGATGGTTAGGAACATATTTCTCAAAAGAAATTGTCAATAAATCAATGCTAAAATTGATTATTTCGTTTTCTTATCTTCTTTGAATTTATTGGCAAATTTCTTTAAATCCTTCAAATGTCGTCTTTTCAATAATAATTCTAGAAAATCTGCGAAATCTTTGTGAATAATGAGAAACCAGAATAATGAGAAAATAGAAATTAATAGTTGAACAAAATTACTTATTTTCGATGATAGATTAATTTTTATTTTCTCCACATGTTCCTATACATGACGTCTGTAGTTTATTGTAAAACTTTTTTACATTTCATGTCGTCGTTATTTAATAATTAAAAAAAACTAATTCTGAAAACGTATTTACCCCCAAGTAGGAGTTTTGAACGTAGAATTTGCGCTCAAACTCAGGATTTACAGATCTTTAAAAAGTTTAATATGTCTC